TCTTTGTCTATTTGCATTGAAAGTTATTCAAACAATTAAAATAGATTACATTCAAGGTTATAAGGTTTTATATTATAATTATTATAAGGTTAATTAATTAGCCTTATGATAGCCCGAATGTAATCCAGCTCTAATTGTTTGAATAATTAAAAATTTGAATTGGTTTTAATATATAAATATATACTATATTTAATATATTTGATAAGGTTAGCTTTTGTTTTTAAATGCTTTCCTTCCTATTGGCACTAGGACAGTCTCTGTATACAGTATCTGTGCTGTGCTATGATGCAGAGATGTGGCCGCATCAGGCGGCACCGTGAGGGAGCGGCATAAAAAACATTTAAGGGGCAGAATTTCAAAGACTTGCATCATACTTAGAAAATCTACCGCACGGCCCTGGTAAGATACACCAAATAATAAGAATTATAGCCTATATAAGACTAATAATTTATATAAGTGGCGGCATTTCGAAGACTTGCATCATACTTAGAAAATCTACTGCATGGCCCTGTCTGTATAGAAGCCCATTATGGGTTTGGCCAGGCCCACAATGGGGGTGGCTGGATGGTGAGGGATGGCCTGATATATGCAGATGGACCACTCCCCAAAAAATTTCAGGGATTTTAGACACATCCAGATTTAATCCTAAGTACCCAGAGCAGAAGTGGATTTTTTAAAATTTAAACATTCTGACAGATTCACAAATTTTTGAAACCATAGACAAGCTAAGTTCATCAGTTCAGGTATGGATCATTTAGTAAAAGAACTGGTTTATGTGCACAGCATTCAGAATAATAAGAACTGGTTTATGTGCACAGCATTCAGAATAATAAAAAATTTGCTTCCAGTGCCAACACTAAGCATACCATTTAGAGTCAGTAATCCATTAGTGCAACAATACGGCTGCTCCCACTTGTTACCAATTTTGGCATGAAGAGCATAACTTTTCTTTACTTTTTGATGAATTATCTCAGACAATTGAAAATGGTACAAATGTTATATAAATAACTAGCAGATATGCCTAGGTAAAAAGTAAAAACAATGAACATTCAAATCAATAATACAAAACACACTTTATTAGAAAGGCGAACACTTTATCTTCATTGTTATTTAAGTTGTTTTCAGTCATGTAGAAAAATCAGGTGAAAATGCTGTCTTTTTGAAATAAATTGTTTTGTATTGTTAATGTGTATTTTTAAGTTCAATTTAAAAATAAGACAAGGTCTTTGGAAAAAAATGCTACCATTTTAAATTACTGTAATTATGTTGATTATTATCCGAGAATGTTGTAATGTACGTTAATGCTTTGGAAAACTGTCTATATTTTGCATTTGTAAATTAGTTTCTCAATGCATGCACCTTGTGTCGCATGGCACATATTTAACCAATACTCAAATTTTTCCTATACAGTAGAGTCCCAAAAACTTGGCCTAATGTGGACCAAAGGATGGCCAAGTTTGTGAAAATGCCAGGTTATCGGGAATAGGATTAAAAAAGAATGAGTACGAGTAAATCAGAAAATACTGTACTGTACAGGTACTTGTATGTATTGTTTGCTTGAGAATACAACAGAGAATAAACTGCCTAAATACACTTAAACAAAGGAAAAGTACTTACTTTATGAAGGCATAGAGTCTTTACTACATGAAAATGAAAATTAATGAATACACAGTGTACAGTAATTTACCTGATAAGATAGATCTCAGAAAAATACTTTATAAGGCATAAAGCTGTCTATAATGAAAATTAACTAGGGGTTTTTTTGCCCTGCCAGGGTGTGGCTGAGTTATTCAGACTGCCGAGTTATCGCGTGCTGAGTTTTCGGGACTGTTCTGTACTTGCAGCATATCCATTGTCACTCTTCCCATAGCAAGGTACAATTCTGTTGTTGCTACAGATTTCTAATGTTGCATGAGGATGAATGATTCTGACTTTGCAAACTTCAGAATGCAAAACACCTCTGTTGCAGAGTCACCATTTTTGTTTACAGTGTTTTCTAGCAGTAGTAGACAATGCGACACATGAATGCAAATGGGAGATGAAACTATGATAACTACTCTATCAACTGTTGTACACTACATATTTCTCAGGACAATAATTAACATAATTACAGTAATTTAAAATGGTAGCATTCATTTTGGAAGAATGTATACTAAAATATAGAAACTAAAGTACAGTAAAATGTGACCAAAATGGAAAGTTCTTTGGATTCAAGTGATTTTCTGTGTTTAAAACAACTGCTAAAAACAGAAACCTGCCAAATCAAAAAAAATATTCTGTACTGTGCAATTCCAGTTTACACAAGTTTTACTGTGTGTTTAGTTAATGCATATAAAAATTTATTTTTATATCATTGTCATAATTTCTGTTAGATTTTCTGTGTATAAGGCTCTATACAAAGCTGCCACAATATACAAGTATCCCTTGTATAACACAGTAGTTACGTTCTGAAAAAGTACTGTGTTATGCAAATCCGTGCTATATGAAACAAAGGATTAATGTAAAACATAGGGTTGCATTCCAGAAGTTAGCAAATGTATATCATTCTAATCTGTTACTAAGAGAAATGAGTTTATTAAAGCAATCAATAATTTATTTCCAATCAATAATTAATTAACAGTCATAATTAAAATTGCTTTATTATGCATAAATATTAATTTTAATTAAATGAGTGTGTTTTCTTTGTTACAAAGCCTTGTCATCATTTCAAATCTTTGTTGATCTTGATCAGAAACTAATAATTCAAAAAAAAAAATCTTGTGTGTATAAAAGCACTGAATTGATTTTACAATTGTCTGAGTTGCTATAATTGGTCAAACCATAGTTAGTTCTGTTTTTATGATCAATTCATTATGGAGTTATAACGAATTAAATGATTAAAATAATATCTGTTCTTGCAAAGTACAGAACATAGATAGGACTGTAATGCAGAATTTGTTTCATTTTAAGATAATAGACTTAGATAAAGATTGATCTTTTAGTAAATTAGTTGCCTAAAAACAAATTTTAAATTAATTCATATATACTTGTGTCCAACAAATAAGCATTATCATACAATCCATAGATAGGAGTCCAGGTATAGTCCAATAATTTTCATTGGATTAGCACGTGGAGAGAATGGGAAACCCAATAAAGTCCCATGAACATGTTTGGAGGTTCTGGTATTATAATCTGGAGTGGAATTATACTTTAATTGCTGCACCTAGCTCCACATTGCAAGGGGTGACATTACTGCAAGAAGATACAGACACAAGGTTTGAAATCCCATTGAGGCTTTGAGTACAGATTTCATTTTCACAGACAATAATGTCAGCACACATAGGGCTACATTAGACAATGACTTTGTTCAGACAGAAGATTTCTTGCCAGTGGGATTATTGCATAGAGTAGCATGCAAGATTTATGGACTTAAATCCTCTAGAATGTGTGGGGGAGCTGTAAGGAGATGAGTTGCATTCTTTTAATTAATAAATACGAATTAAATGTATCAGGTCAGTCCATAAGTTTGTGCGCATTTTTATCTACAAAAAAAGCAACAAAAAATTTTAATTAAATTTTATTTCAATCTATAATGTATTCACCATTATTTTGTACAATTTCTTGCCATCTTGATGGTAGCTTTTTAATCCCGTCTTTGTAAAATGATTTCGGTTTTGAATCAAAATATTCAGAAATAGCCTTTTTTACATTGTTCTCATCCTCAAAAGTTTTTCCTTTTAAAAAATTCTGCAAACTCCGAAAAAGATGATAATCACTGGGAGCAATATCTGGCAAATATGGTGGATGAGGTAAAATTTCCCAGTTGAAGCTTTGGAGTTGAGCAGTTGACGTTGTTGTCAGTTAGCTATTGACAGTTCATGTGGTATCCATTTTCCTAGCTTTGAAACTTTTCCGATTTGTTGTAGATGTCTATGAACAGTTCCATGGGATGAATTTAAACGTTCCGCAATTTCATCAACTGTTAAAGATGGTTCTGCTTCAACTAGTGCAGAGAGAGCATCATCATCAAAGTCAACGGGTCTTCCAGTACGAGCCTTATCCTCCACACTAAAATCATTATTTCTAAATCTTTCAAACCACTTCTGCGCAGTCCTTACACTAATTACAGTTTGATTATGAACAGTATTTAATTTTTTGGCTGCATTTGTAGCATTCTCATCACTTAAAAATAAAAAGTATAAAACATGTCTCTTATATTCATCTGTTACTTCCATTTTAACGAAACTAAACAACTGAAATGTTCCCAATTCTGAACAGTATTATATGAATGAGATCCAATTTAACACTTCAGTGTAAGAGTTATCACATTAGACTGGCATTTTTAACAGCAAAACAAGATTTTTCTCAAGATTATAAAATACGCAGGAACTTATGGACTGACCTGATATTAACTGTCTTAAAAACAAAAGGACATGAACATGATATCGAACATACTTCACTGATACATACAGCAAATGTTATGGACTGATACAGTATATTAGATTATGGGTGTTTTCTGTTATCATAATAGGCTGTTAGTCTTTAAAAGTGAACTTTATGTTATATTAAAGTGTAACCACCTTGTGGCCAAGAGATTTAACATATCACAATCAAGAGACGATGTAATACCTCCTCTTGGTGATTTGTATCTCTCCACATGTGTTTAGCAGATTAATTTAAAATGGTAGCATTCTTTTCAAAAGATCCTGTATTAACAGCTTTATAATTTCAATTTATTAGAGTAAATTTCTGAGTTTCATCTATAGTCTGTGATCAAACATCTTTTTGTCTATTGTCCATAGAAAGCACCATAAACAAAAATGATGACTCTGCAACAGAGAGTGTATTTTGTGCTCTGCAATTCACAAAGTTGGAATCAGTTGTCATTGTGCAACATGAGTTTCGCAGACAAATTCATTGTGATTCACCGTGTGTAAGGCAAACATTCTAGTTGCACAATGATGACTGATTCTGAATTGCAGACTTCAGAACACAAAATGCCTTCTCTGTTGTGGAATCACCATTTTTGTTTGTGGCACTTCCTAGTGGCAGCAGACAAAAATGGAAATGGTAAATGAAACTCAGAATTTACTCCATTGACTGGTGTATGTTGCATAATTCTTGGATAATAAGTAACAGGACTACAGTAATTTAAAATAGTAGCATTCTTTTTGGAAGACCCTGTATAACATTTAGTTTACTTTTGTATCAAATACTAAATCTATATACTTTTAAATTTTTCATGCCAAATATTTAAGAAAACAGATGACAATCTGTTAAAATTTTACTTGTATGTAATTAAGATAGTGTGTGAAAATTTCTATGAGTATATTATAGATTATTCAACAAATACCTTATTTTTTAGTTAAAAAGTGGACGAAAAGAAAGAAGCCTGTTATCGAAGAGAAACTTCAGTGTCTTTTAAATGAATGTGATTTTTACATCACTGTGAATTTGGATAAGTTAACAAGAAGTGGAATGCAATATAAGTTGGGAGAATTTGTTGCTACCTCCTTCGAGAACTGCAAATATTCTTTTGAAAACATTTCTGCTGTATATTTATATATTAGTGAAAATACTGATAAGTGTTTTTTATATTGGGAATCTCATGAAGAACAGGATAAAAAAGTAAGTAATATTTATATGTCTTTTATATAAAATAAATCCAATTTGAAATCATCAGTAGACTAGGTTAGCTATTCTTAACCCCATTTGGCCATGGTCCTCCATGAATCTCTTTTCTAATTCTATGACCTTTCTGTGAAGTAATGAAACTTTCTAGTAAGTTTCTTTCATACTTTTTTCCTACCAACTATAATACACATTCAAGTTATTCAAAAAAAGGTTTATTGATATAATCACTCAAAGAAAGTACTATATTAAGGTTTTGGTTGTAGCAATAATTTTTAAAATTTTTTAAAAATCCAAGACAGTGTGTGTTAAAACATTACAAAATTTGAAGACTAAACATAAAAACAGAGACATTTTGGAGTCTTTGTCTCATCTATTCATAACTGTCGGAACACAATTAACAATAGCAGAGTTGACATTTCTGTAAAGTCTCTTCTTTACCTATTGTATGCAAATGTTTCAATACACATTGTCTTGGATTTTTTAAATTATTATTTCTACAACTGAATTTGTTACAAGTATCTGATGCCAGAGGAATTTTTTAGATATTATAATTTGCAGATCACTCTTGACCAAATAGTTTTTTTTTTTAATTAATTTAAATTACTTTAAGGCATATAACCTATGACAGCATAGAACTTGCAGAAAATTGCTAGAATAAAAATAAAACCTTTGTTTAACTTACCCCATTGTGTACTCTATATTTATAGGAATAAGTTTACAATTGCAATTTAAAATTAGCATATAGCCCACCCCATTGTATAACTTGATTTTGTTTTAAATTTAAAAGGCTTTTGAAATAATCCATAAAAGATAAATGATAACCTATGAAAGGTTTTTGAAGTAATTAAAGGTTTTACATTTTTTTCTTTGTATGTGAAGTCTAAGTGTTGTTTTAACTTGCTTGGCCACATACTTTCATTTGAAAGTACAGGGTGTTTTGCTTGAAAGTACCCAATTTGATTTATCTATAAAAAATTAATGGTTAAGGATATAAGTTCACCAATGATTTTTATAAGAGAGAAAAACTCACTAAATTTCATTGAAAATATTACCACATCTCTGTGTATTCCAGCAGTCATGGTGACAACATCAAGGCAGTAGGCAATTTTCTGCTATGTACACTATAACATGTCCTGTCTCACAGTGGCAATTGCTGTGATGATGCACTTCTGAAGATCCTGCCTTCAGGATGCATAAACTATATCTTTCACTTAACTCCACAGAAAAAAATCTGAGGGATCAGATTGGGAAAGCTTGACAGCCACACTATCAGGCATACCAAACTGAAGCCTACACTTTCTCCTGTGGTGAACCCCTGACTGGACAATAATGCTCACAATTTGACTTCTGTGCCATCTTGAAGTACAAAAAAAATCTCTATAGAACTTGATGAGTTTCTCACCAGATGTTACTTGTTGCTTTTGCATAACTTAAACTGTTAATTTTTTATGGAGAATTAAAATTGGATACTTTCAAGTGAAATGCCCTGTATATTTACTCAAATCAAAACATGAGTAGAGAAGAGTTTTGTGGAGATGTAATGAAACTGTATGATAAGTGTCAGCAGTATTCCATAGAATACTGCTGACACTTATCATACAGTTTCCATAGAATACTGCTGACACTTTTTTATTTTGCTTAGATAACAGGTAAAATTATTTCTGAAAAGAATTAAAATTAACTATTACATAGTGAAAAAATTCTTACAAAAGTTAATTTTAAAGTTGTCTTAGATTTTATGGAAAATAATGAACAGTTTTGTTCTGTATGATATGCACAACATCTATATGGCATAATTGCGATACTTGAGCTGTATTTTGGTAGACAAACAACTTTACAAAACCCAATACATCGTACAGTAGAGCGTCGATTATTCGAATGTCGATCAACTGAAACGTTGGTTAACCGAAAGTGTTCCAATCAGACTGTGTCCTGCCTTATCGAACGGTTTTGATACTAGATTAACTTTTAAAGTATAATTTTTTTTTTTTTNTTAATTAATTTATTTATAATTATTAATATTAATAAGAGATGGCGCCTAACGCTTACCTCTAGTGCCAAATTAATTACGTAATTTATTTAGTAATTAGCCTTAAAACTAGCCCGATGGATTTACGGCATATGTTTGGTGATTAACCCCTGACTGGACAATAATGCTCACAATTTGACTTCTGTGCCATCTTGAAGTACAAAAAAAATCTCTATAGAACTTGATGAGTTTCTCACCAGATGTTACTTGTTGCTTTTGCATAACTTAAACTGTTAATTTTTTATGGAGAATTAAAATTGGATACTTTCAAGTGAAATGCCCTGTATATTTACTCAAATCAAAACATGAGTAGAGAAGAGTTTTGTGGAGATGTAATGAAACTGTATGATAAGTGTCAGCAGTATTCCATAGAATACTGCTGACACTTATCATACAGTTTCCATAGAATACTGCTGACACTTTTTTATTTTGCTTAGATAACAGGTAAAATTATTTCTGAAAAGAATTAAAATTAACTATTACATAGTGAAAAAATTCTTACAAAAGTTAATTTTAAAGTTGTCTTAGATTTTATGGAAAATAATGAACAGTTTTGTTCTGTATGATATGCACAACATCTATATGGCATAATTGCGATACTTGAGCTGTATTTTGGTAGACAAACAACTTTACAAAACCCAATACATCGTACAGTAGAGCGTCGATTATTCGAATGTCGATCAACTGAAACGTTGGTTAACCGAAAGTGTTCCAATCAGACTGTGTCCTGCCTTATCGAACGGTTTTGATACTAGATTAACTTTTAAAGTATGATTTTTTTTTTGTTTTTATATTTTTCAATATATTTATTTTGTTTGTACAAAATAAATAATTTTTAATGATACAATAGCCATGATTATTATTATAAAAATTTTCATTAGTCATAACATCAACGAAAAGTCAATGCGAAGTGACATGCAATGGAGAAAAATTTAAACACGGGATAGGTTAATATATTTTTTCGTACATAATCGGTTATCCGAAAAATAAGTTATGTTGGACCTCGAGGACAAAGAACAAGCCGAACGTGCTGAGTGTAGAGTAGTCC